CTCTCGAAGATAATGGGATATGAACTCAGTCTGCATACAAGGGAGTCGAACCTGGCTTCAATACGTATGAAGGAAATATGTCGCTTCTGAACGAGTGTCTATCGTGGCTGTCTACTTTATTAGAGCCGCGCTTGGATTGCTTTCGCTTCAGGATTCTTTTGTTTGTGAATAGTGCAATGGAAGTCGTGAAAAGACACCGTAGTTTCGCTCACTTGATTATCTTTTTAATGTTTAATGTACTTTTTCAAATGGCCGAATATACCCTTCTTTCCACTGCTGTTTCGTACTAATTGCGTACGCACAGAGGGGCCGTTTGCAGGTGATATGAAGTGAAGTAGGGTATTTTCAAGCCAATATATATATATATGTATATGTATATATATATATATTTGTTTCCGCCAATATAGTAGTCTATTACCGTGTTTGCTGTCTAGGCAGAGCCCCTCTTTAGCGGGTTTCTGTTGCGTAAATTGTTATATGCATTAAAGCGTGCAATTATACATTTGATCCGATTGAATTCTTATCCGATATATCCGATTATTCGATGTATGTTAGGGGCTATCTGACCTGACATCGTGTTTAAGAGCCGAACAGATAGAGAAATGGAAAGCCGCATTTCTCGCCTCTTTTGCTTCTAAGGAAGGTCTATTTTATTTACTTATTTGAAATTAACTGCACTTGCAGAACTCCGTTTGCAATTTTTTTTTATTTTCATTGGAAATGCATTCGTCTTCATGCAGCCTGAACACTTCCATTATTACAATTGTACAAAAACTTTGCTTTAGCTTGAAGTTTTCCGTAGCTTATTTCGATGAATGCCGCAGTAGTTTGCCTATCTTAAGGGAGTTTTAGGGCTTTGTATTTTCCTCTTACATTCCCAGAAGGTCTTCTCTTTCCTTCTACGAACACGATAGAGAGCTTCATCGCTTCTACTAAGCGAAATGTTTATAAACAGGCGTAGATAAATATGTTGTTGTCGCTCCTATTCCGGCAGTTTGAGTGGAGAGGATATGCATACAATCTGAATAAAATATTATTTTATGAAAAATTAATGCGTTTCTCGGCAAAGATTCCTCTTAATTAGCACAGGAAAGAACAACGGATTCGTTTGATATTCATGCATATTGCAACTTTTACAACTTTTTTCTTTAATATATCGTTCTATTTTAATCTCTTTATTTCAATAATTCATTTTGTTACCCTTGATAAACTAGCAAAAGAAACAGTATTTTATTTTGTTAAAATGCGTAACTGTCTGTTGCTAAATTGAGTTGAAGCAGAAAAGGCGTACAACACCCACAAGGAGCTCTGGGATTTACAAGAAACAATTTAAATTGGAAAGAAAACAAACAAATAAAGAAAAAGAAATGAAGTTATTGAAGAGGAAATACAAGAAAATGCATATTGTAGTCGTCTTCTCTATGGCGTCTCAGACGCATCGTTAGAATCCAGAGAGTTATTTTTTATCGTTTATTTATTCCTTTTCTTGATATTTGCTTATTTAAATTTGTTTTCTTCTGGTCGAGTGTTTCGTACTAACAAACACATTGCAGGAAAACAGCGAAGTAGTTACGAAGCTCCTGAAGCCTTGCTACAAGCCGCATTGCCTCCCTAACGTTGTTATTGGCTGATTAATTATACTTATTTAATTTGTTTGTGAATTTAAAAAGATATATATTTATGTTTTTTTATTCAATTCACCTTCAAACGCCTCTAATCCGCAGACAGGGGCTGCTGAGGGCCCCCTGCTGCTGTCTGCCTTCGGCAGAGCTAAACCTTGTCTGAGTTTGCTGCTCTTGATAGAAGCAGAGCAGCAACTTTAATTTATTTATCTTAACGATTTTACCTCTAAACAGAAGCAATTAACAACTGTATTCTCTGCTCGCTTCCCGCCAGCCTCTCAACAGCAGTAGCAGCAGCAACAGCAGCAGCAGTACCAGCAGCAGCCTTGCAGCAGCAGCAGAAAGAGCAGCATCCATAGAAGGAACCGAAACAAAGAAGCAGCAACAGCAGCAGCAGCAGCAGCAGCAACAGCAGCAGCAAGATGTCGGACACAGAAGACGGCAACGGCAGCAGCACAACGCCGGCTTTCCGGTGTTTGTCTTTGCAAGAGTTGCAGCAGTTTTGTCTGGGCCCTAACTCTAGAGACAGAGTGTTGTCGCTGCTGCAGAAGACAACGGCTGGGGAGCTTCTGCAGCAGGCAGCAGCAGCAGCCGATGCGGTTGCGCTGCAGCAGCACGCGACCACTGCAGCAGAGAAGGAAGCAGCCACAAAGGCAGCAGCGCGAGCTGCTGCAACAGGAGATACAGAAGCAGCAGCAAACCCTGAAAAGCTGCTGGAGCTGCTGCTACAAAGCATCAAGAGGGCCTTTGAGATCGAAGAGCTACGAGATGCAATTCTATCACAGCCAGAGGCACGAATTCGCTGCTGCTGCTGCTGCTGCTGTTGCTGCTGACCCAGCCTGCTGCTGCAGCTGCTGCTGTGTCTGCTGCTTCCAGTTTTCGGATGCTGCTGCTCTCGCTGCTACTTCCACTGCAGGAAGCCGTTGCTTCCGTGCCCTGCAGAAGCAGCACTACCACCAGCAGCAACAGCAGCAGCAGCAGCAGTTGCTGTTGCTGCTGCTGGTCCTTCTGCTGCTATTGAACACGTAGACTGCTGCCCTTCTGTCTGTTCTGTGCATGTTTGTTGGTGCTACGGCTGCTGCTCTTGCTGCTGCTGCTGCTGCTGCTGCTGCAGTTGTTGGGTGTTTCGGCATTCCTTTGCATTTTTCTTCGTGGCTCTGTTACGGGCAGCTGCTGCAGCAGCACGTGCCTATTATGCTGCTGCTGCTGCCTTTGCTGCTGATGTTGCTGCGTCTCTTGCTGTCGCTTTTGCTGCTGCTGCTACAGATGAGGCCTCTGCTCGCTGCTGCTGCAGCGAGCCCTCTGACTGCTATTCGGGAGCTGCTAGCGCAGCAGCTGCAGCAGATAGCGAAGCGAGGAGATGCAGGTGGGTGATGCCTCTTTGTCTCTATCTTTTATTTGTTGCTGTTGCTGTCTCCTGCTCCTATCTGTTTTCTGTTTTTGCTGCTTGTCTTAGCTGCGCAGCTGTCTCTCCTGTGGTCATGTTTGTTTGTTTGTTTTGTTTGATTACTCTGTTTTATTATATTTTTTTAACTTTGTTTTAATTTAATTTAATTTAATTTAACTTAATTTGCCTTTGCTTGTTGCTTCGATGCCTCTATCTTCTCTTTTATGTCTTTATTTGCTTTGTTTCTCCGTTGCTGCCGTCGTTTGCTCCCACAACTGCTGCTGCTGTTGCTGCTGCTGCTGTTGCTGCTGCTGCTGCTGCAGGTGTAGAGTTTCTATGGAAGCTAGAGCTAAACCGACAGCTACTTGTTCTTCTCGACGATGCGGAGACAGCGGTGGCTGTTAGGGCAGAGACAGCGCTCGCAGCGGTGCAAAAGGGTTTAGGGTTTAGGGTTATAGGGTTTAGGGTTTAGGGTTTATGTGTTTAGGTCCCTTAAGAGAAATAGCGCAGAGCGGATGGCTTTCGTATGATTCTTCTTTCTCGAGGGTTTAGGGTTTAGGGTTTAGGGTTTAGGGTTGAGGGTTTAGGGTTTAGGGTTTCGGGTTTAGGGTTTAGGGTTTATGTGTTTAGGTTTGTTCGGCGGAGTGCGCTGTACGTTTGGTGTTTGAGGGCGCCTTCTTTAAAGAGTTGTCTCGTCTTGCGCTGGACGGCCCTGAGGTGTGTTTGTTTAGGGGTTTGCTTATTTGTTTCTTTTGCTGCTGTCTCCTTTGCCGTTGTCCTCTTCTACGCCGCAGCAGCAGCGCGAACACTTGCTGCAGCAGCAGCAGTAGCAGCAGCACAACAGCAACAGGCAGGAGGAACGCAGCAACAGCAGCTTAACATCAGCGCAGCAGCAGCAGCAGCAGCAGGATATGTTGTTTATATTGTTGCATGTGGGGTGTCTTTGCAGACTGTTTGCTTCCGTGTCTTGTCCCCCCTCATCCACGGCTCAGTGCAGCGGGAGCGGTTTTTTGCTGCTGCTTGTTCTGCTGCTGCGGAGTTGCTGTCGCGGCTGCAGCAGCTCGTAGCAAACAAAGTAGACCCTCTTCTACAAGCAACTGCATGCGAGCTGCTCTCAGCTGTCAGCACTGCTTCTGCTGCTGCTGCTGCTGCTGTTGCTACGGTGCTGCTGCTGCTGCTGCCGTTGCTGCTGCTGCTGCTGCTGATGCACGTCTCGCTGCTCTGTGTGTGTTGAGTTCAGCTCGTCAGCGTTCCTTGGGGACTGGATTTCGCCCTCAAAGAGCACTATCCAGAACTCGTTGCACGGTATGTTCATTGCTGCTGCTGCTGCTGCTGCTGCTGCTGCTGCTGCTGCTCGTGGTGGTACTGGTGGTTGTGGTGCTTCTCGTAGTGGCGGTGTGCTGCTGCTGGTCTTGCTGCTTAAGCTGGTGTTTTTTTTTGCTGCTGCTGCTGCTGCTGTTTGTGCTGCGGGAGGTGTTTGCTGCTGCCGCTGCTGCTGTTGCTGCTGCTGCTGCTGCACTTGGAGTTGTGCTGCTGCGGGGGGCTGCGTTTAGGCTGATAGCGGAAGAAGAAGACGTCATGGAGTGCCAAACAATGATTAGGCTGCTCGCTCGCTTGACAATTGCGGTCTGCTGCTGCTGCTGCTGTTGCTGCCGCTGCACTCCCTGCTGCTGTTGCTGCTGCATTAACTCCTGCTGCTTCTGCTGCACTACGTCCTGTTGCTGCTGCTGCTATTACTGTTGCTGATGCTTCGTTTTTTGCTCCTGCTTGTACTTCTGCTGGTGCTTCTGCTGCTGCTGGCACTGGTTTAATGCTGTTGCAGCAGCAGCAACAGCAGCAGCAGCACCAGTACAGCTAAGCTGCAGCTGCAGCTCCTTGTGTGTCTCCTGCTGCAGCGGCCGTCTGAGTTTGAGCGGCTCTTCAGCTTGCAAGATGGCGTGCTGCGTAAGATTGTTGAGGTGGGTCTTGATGCTGCTGTCTCCTTATGTCTCCTTCTTACTGTCTCCTTTGTTTCCTTTTGTATTCACCCCTGCTGCACGTCCTACTGCTTCTGCTGCTGCTGCTGCTGCTGCTGCTGCTGCTTCTGCTGCAGGACTGTCTCTCCTCGTCGTGCAAGAGGAAGAAGGTGGGCTTCATTGAGTGTCTCCTCTGTGTGCCTCTTCTTGACGTTGCGTGCAGCAAAGCACATTCTTAGGGTTTAGGGTTTAGGGTTTAGGGTTTAGGGTTTAGGGTTTCGGGGTTTTGCTGCTCGTGGTGTTCTGGTGCTTATTTCTGTGGCGGCTTTGTGCTGCCCCTGTGTGGACGCGTACAGACCTGCTGCTGCTGCTGCTGTTGCTGCTGCTGGACTTGCTGCTCGTTTGCTACTGCTGCTGCTGCTGCAGGAAGAAGGCATTGAGTGTTGGAGTATCCTTTGTTCTAAGCCCGAGAGCGCGGCTGAGCTGGCGGAAAGACTTCCATCCTGGACGGATTGTGTCAGTGCTGCTGCTGCTGCTGCTTCTGCTGCTGCTGCTGCTGCTGTTGCTGCTGCTGCTGCTGCTGCTGCTGCTGCTTGGGCAGCGGGTAGTTCTTCCCCCTCCTCCCTATGGCCCTACCTTGCCGCTGCACGAAACACACTCGAAATGCTTGTCTGCATAAATGGAGACTATTGTTGCTGGTGTTGCTGCTCCTGTTGCTGCTGTTGCTGCTCCTGTTGCTGCTGTTGCTGCTGCTGTTTCTGCTGCTGCTGCTGCGTTTCAGGTTGCGGAGAGCGTGATGGACGTGGAGGAGGTGTCAGTGGCGGCTCTGCATGCGTGGGTGTATGTACTTAAAGAGCTGTAAGCCCTTCAAGCTTGCTGCTGCTTTTGCTGCTGCTGCTTTTGCTGCTGCTGCTTTTGTTGCTGCTGCTTTTGTTGCTGCTGCTTTCATTTGCTTTGCCGTGCTGCACTTGGCTCTCGCTTGCTGCTGCTACTGATGCTTTCTGCTGCTACTGCTGCTGTCTGCTGCCACCGCTACTGCTGCTGCTGCTGCTGTGTTGCGCTGCAGCAAAGAGCCCTCGCGTCTGCCTGAGTCGATGAGGAAGACAGTGGAAACAAAGCTGGCGTCTAAGGCAAGCACTACAGCTTTTGCTGCTGCTGCTGCTGCTTCAGTGGTCTTTGCTAATCTGCATGCTGCTACTGCTGGTGATGCTGCTGCTACTGCTGCTGCTGCAGCTGCTAATTCTGCCGCTGCTTCTGCTGTGTGTACGTACAGCTGCTAGAGTGCGTGCTTCAGAGGCCTTTCCCGGAGGCTCGACAGCAGTGTTATGAGTTGCTTAAGGGTAAGGCCTTCCCTTACTTAGGCTCGCCCCTGTCGCTGGGTTCGCTGCTGCTGCTGTTGCTGCTGCTGCTGCTGCTGCTGCTGCTGCTGCTATGCGGCTTGTGCGTTTGCGTCTGCTGCTGCGTAGCTAGAGACATGCTTGCCGCCTCTGCTACTGCTGATGCTGCGTTCTGTGTTTTGCCGCGTGGCTAGAGGCACAGTTGCTGCTTCTGCTGCTGCTGCTGCTGCTGCTGCTTGTGCTGCAGCATTAACAGCTTTTGATGCCCCTATGCAGATGGTGTTTTCCTCCGACAAGTTCCGTCAGTTGATGCTGGACTCAGCGAGCGACACGGAGTATGAGGGTAAAACAACCTCTAAACCCTAAACCCTAAACCCTATAAGCAAGCCCTTGCTGTTAAGCCTTAGCTAGCGCATGCACTTCAGACTACTAGCAAGATATTTTCCTGAAGTAGATATAGAGTGTTATTCTAATTGATATAATTAACTTTTAGTTGTATTTAATATCTAATAATATTTCTAATGTAGAAATATTATCATTGTGCAGCCAGCTGGAGTGTACGCAGTGGATAGCTGCCCACGTAGCTAGCTGGCTAGCTAGGCAGATCTAGGCTCGTTAGCTAGCTTGAGGCAGCTAGCTAGCTAGCTAGCTAGCCAGGTGGCATTACGAAGCTGTTGCTGTTGTTGTAGTGTACAGCAGCGGCGGTTTTGATGTCTGCGTGTTCTTCTTGTTTGCAAGGAGTTGTTTTATTTGTGTGTTGTTTCATTTGTTTAGTGCTGCTGCTTGCTGCTTCAGCAACTTTACTATCTTTTTGATGCTTCAGTTTGGGTATTTATATGTTTAATGATGTGTATGGGGTGTCAGTGAAGGTTGCTAAGCATGCATTCGCTGGGGCTGCATGCGAAGCACAAGGAGAGTGGCTAAGGGAAGCGCTAGATACATCTTTCTGGGGAGAGTTCTCTCGCTATGCTAAGAAGGGGCCTTTCTCAACTTCTTCAGGTTTGTCTTTAGCTGCACTGCATGCACGCAAAAGAAGAGGAAGAAAACCTTAAGAAAACTAAGGAAATGTAGCTTTAAACCCAGAGAGTTGCACACTTCGTCCATGCATGCATGCATGCATGCATACATACATATGCTCCGTGTCCCGGTATTGCTTTGTGTTTGCAGCTGCTCGTTCTCTCGCAACTGCAACATAGGAAAACTGCTGCTGCTGCAGCAGCAGCAGCAGCAGCAAACATGAGCTGCTGCTGCTTGCTTGGGGCAGCTGCAGCTGGAGCTGCAGCAGACGCCAACACCTCTTGTCTTTTTATACAGTAATGCATGCGAGCGTCCTTGCAACTTGGAGATGTACGGCGGCAGACAAATGCCTCTTCGCAGCTTTCCTCGTCTTCATTTTCAAAAAAACAGAAATAAACAAGAAGAAAACCCCCCCATGCTTCGTATACTATCTTTATTCAGAGGGAACACTGAATAGACTCAGCCGCCTCGCATACGGCAGCTAGAGGCGCAGCAAAAAGCTTGCTGAAGCAAATAAATAGAATTCTTTTGTCTCCTTTTTGTTGTGTGTACGGCTTGTCTTATAATAACAAGGGTTTATGTTGCTGTCTATCAGTCCTCTAGGGTGTTGGCGGCTTGCTGGTGTTGATGGGCTGCCCCCAGCTGTTCCTGTACATGCAGGGAGGAAGCATGAATTAAAGGGAAAGAAAGGAAGTCGCTATAACTTCATCTGCAATGTGGTGTACAGACACCTCAGCATGTGCAGAATACTGGTATTGTCGGCGGAGGCAGTTTCAATACAAACTTGAACGAAAAAGGAACTGCGTAACAATTGGATTCTTATGGTTAATTTGTTCCGAAACGCACAGAAATACCACTTAACCAAATTTTCAATGGCATTTTCTACGTGTTTCTTCCTCTTCCGCTGGTCGGGCTGCAGCCGCTATCGGGCTGCTGTGCGAGTTGGATTGTCCTTTTGAGGTATTTTTTATGATTCTTCTGTGCATCCCATGGCACAGTTTTGTTTTAATTAAAACAAGTAAGATGAATCCAAGTGAAATAAAGTGAATATCTGCTTTTAAACGCCTGGAAGACCCGGTTTGCTCGTCACTCCCATAGCACGCAGCCTTCGTCGTGACGGCGCCGTTGACCTCGCCTCGTAGACAGCTCGGGGTCCATTTACTTCATTTTTCCACATTTAGTCGCCTCTATGCAGCCGCCACTAACACCGAGCCCGCCGTAGCCCTGGGGGCCTCCCGCCGGCTGCTAACCGGTGGTTCGCTCCTGCACATCTTGTAGCTGGAGGCAGCAGGGGCCCCTGGCTGCGGCTTTTAGGGGGCCCCTTGCTGCTGGTGGGGCCCCCCAAACGGTATTAGGGCTTAAGCTGCTGAACAGCAACGACGGCGTAGCTCCGTTTCACCGCTGTGTCTGCTGCTGCTGCGGCGACAGCTGGCGAAGCTGAACCGTGGCAGCAACAGCAGGATTACCTGCAGACGAAGATCTGCAGCAGCAACAGCTTCCTCATCGGCATCTGCAGCAGAAGAAAATAAAATGGAGGACTCAACACAGCCGCAGTATTACTACGATTCCTCAGCAAACCAGTGGTGGCAGTTTAACACCGCCTTGGGGCAGTGGGAGCTATGCCCTGATAGCGAGCAGGGAGAATCCGCAGCAGCAGTGCAGCCTGAAGATGTACAGGAGCAGCAGGAGCAGGAGCAGGAGCAGCAGCAACAGCAGCAGCAGCAGCAGCAGCAGCAGCAGCAGCAGCTAGTGGCAGACCACGAGGCCGCTGGGGCTGCTTCTCCCTCACCCAGCAAACAAGATGCAGGTGCTGCTCATGAAGCGGAAACAGCAGAAGCAGATCCATCTTCACCTGATGCAGCAGCATCACCAGCAGCATCTGACGCAGCATCAGCACCAGGATCAGCTGACTTATCAGCAGAAGCAGCAGCAGACCCAGCAGCAGCAGCAGATTCAGCAGCAGCAGCAGAAGCACAGAATGAAAAACAATCAGGTGCACCTCGTCGTCGCACTACAGCTGTTGTGGCGTTTGCTCCGGGGACTCCAGGAGAGTCTAGCCCCAGCAGAAGCAGCAGTAGCCGGAGCAGCAGCAGCAGCAGCAGCAGCAGCAGCAGCAGCAGCAGGGAGTGGGGGTGGGGTTCTGCTGAGGGGAAGCGTTTGGGTGTATCTTTATCAGGGGATTTAGCTGCAAGAGAAGAATCAGAGGACGACAAAGACAAAGAAAAAGAAGAAGAAGAAGAAGAAGAAGATGATGAAGAAGGAGATGAATTGGGTAATGCCTTAGAAAAACTAATGACAACAAACTTCTCGAGAAGATTAAAGAGCACTAGAGGGAGAAGCTCCCTGTCAGAAACATTTGCATGGTTAGACAGTGGAGGCCAATCTATTCGAGGAAGCCGCGAGAAGGGGGCTTCTAAGCGCAGCAGCAGCAGCAGCAGCGACAGCAGCAGCGGTGGCAGCAGCGACCGAAGCAGCAGCAGCAACAGCAGCAGCAACAGCAGCAGCAGCAGCGATGAAGACGGCAGCAGCAGCAGCAAAGCAGCAGCGGCAGAACCGATTGTTAGACGGGTAACACGTAGAATGACATTCAAAGATATGGGGGGCCTCGCGGGTTGTCTGCAGCGAGCCGTGCAGCTCCGTCAGCAACTCATAGACACAGAGAAAGGTAAATATACTTAAAAATTCATATATATATATACATATATATATATATATGTATATATATATATATATGTATATGTATGCATATATAAATATATGTATATATGTCTATATCTATATATATTTTATATCTGCATATAGATGTATATATGTATATGTATATATGTATATGCATCCATATGTTTATATATCTGTATATATATATATATAGCAGCAGCAGGCCTAGTGGGTGAAGAAGCAATTGTGTCGCAGCAGCAACAGCAGCACAAACAGCACCAGAAATAACAATAAGAAGCACAAGATATAATAATAAACAAATATAACAAATGCATCTAGATAAACAAATACATCTATATATATAGGATGGTGGATATCGTTGAGAAAGGAAGTAAAAAGAATAAATAGCGATGTTAAAAATATGTATAGAGACACCGGCAGACTTATTTAAAAATGTTTACATTAAGAATCTCTGCTTAGATTTAATGAAGCCCGTTGAAGAAGCAGCATATATAAATATATATATGCTTATTCATATATATATATATATATATATATGTATATATATATATATATATGAAGCAATAAGTATATATATAATATATATGTATATATACTTATTAAACGCCGCTAACTCCTTCCTCTTCCTGCTGCTACTGCTACTGCTACTGCTGCTGCTGCTGCTGCTGCTGCTGCTACTGCTGCTGCTGCTGCTGCTGCGTTGTTTAGGGGGACATGTACCTGGGGCTGAGGATTCAGAAACAAAAGAAGAAGCGTGGAAGATAAGAGCACGAAATACGGCGAAGACTGCAGGCACAGAGGCGAGAGAGAGAGCGAAGAGCCTCTGGAGAACAGCAGCAGCAGCAGCAGCAACAACGCATCAGCAGCAGCATGACCAACACCAGCTGCAACAGCTGCAGATGCAGCAGCAGCAGCAACAACAGCAACAGATAAGAGGCTCGCATGCAGCTTCACAGCGATTCGCAGATATCGTAGCCCTCGCTGCGGCTGCCAGGGCAAAGCGTAAGCAGACAGTATTATTATTATATTATTATAATTAGTTATTATTAATTATAATTATAATTAATTATTATTTATTTATTATCGTTTAGTTAGTATTATTTTTTTATTTTATTTCTTTGTCTGCGGTTTCTCTCTGCGCTGTAGATGGAGGCAGACGACAGGAAGACCGTGATGTGCTGGAAGCAGCAGCAGCAGCAGCAGCAGCAGATTCTTCAATAGCTTCTCTATTATCTGTGCCTTCTTTATGGGAGAAGAGGAGGAGCAGCAGAGACGCCACTCCTGCTGCTGCTCCTGCTGCTGCTCCTGCTGTTGCTGCTGCTCGCAACGCCTTCAGCCCTGACAGCAGCAAAGACCCCTCTTTGAACACGCTTGCCTTTACGGGGTTATCCAGCAGCCCGCATCGAAGATATACCGTTGCTGCTTCCTCTCCTGCTGCTGCTGCTGCTGCGCCCGCTGCTGCTGCTGCTGCCCCTCGATCGCAAGTTCAGTCGCCACGCTCGAGGCCGCGGTAGCGGCCCTTACTTGCTGCAGCATAAAGAGCAGCAGCAGCAGCAGCTGCAGCAGCAACAGCGTAGTTAAGTGTGCAGCAAGCAACCTGAAACGGATACACCAAATGCAGGGGCAGAGACAGCCGGAAATATAAACACTCCAGCGAGAACATACATACAGCCCTGCATTTCTTCCTAAGTACAGACTGCTCTTAACTGTATAGCTAGCTAGCTAGCTAGTTATTTAGCTAGCTAGGGGCGTCGCTAGCTAGCTAGCTATCTAGCTAGCTAACTGGCGGCCGCAGCGACATGCCGTTCTCTTGTCAATGGACTCTCTATCTTCCCCCTGCTGCAGCATAAACAGCAGCAGCAACAGCAGCAGCAGCAGCAGCAGCAGCAACAGCAGCAGATCTTCCGGGAAGCTGGCGGCGTGCTTCCCTATGCAGCGCGTGGCTTTTTTTTGTCGTTACCTGCCCTTAAACGCTATATCTAGCTAGCTAGCTGGCTAGCTAGTTATCTATCTATCTACATGCCTCTCTATCTACCTAGCCAGCTAGCTACCTACCTACCTATCTAGCTAGCTAGCTACCTACCTACCTATCTATCTAGCTAGCTAGCTACCTATCTAGCTAGCTAGCTAGCTACCTACCTACCTACCTATCTATCTATCTAGCTAGCTATGCTGGTGGATAGCTATCCACCTATCTACGTATCTACCTTTCTATCTATCTGTCTAGCTAGCTAGCTGTGGAGTTGGCTAGCTAGCTAGCCAACTCCACATTGAGTCTGCAACGGTTAGTTATTTAGGCGGTCTGCCCATCCGGGGTTTAGAAAGAGGAACTGCAGCATATTGTATGTTTTATCTATTTTATCTATCTTTTGCTATGTGATAATAAATATATATATATATATATATATATATATATATATATAAAATATGTGTGTATATAGCGAAGCAACAGCTACAAATAGGTATAAATTATGCATGCATAGGTTCACTACACAGACGTACAAATGTAAAAAGCAATAAAAATCTGCAGATCTGCACATCGAAAGATGAATGCATAAATAACTTCCAAGTCGCCCTGCATGTACACCGCAATATATAATATATGTATATATATATATATATACATTATATATATATGATATATATATATATATATATATATATATGTACATATATATGGATATGTATAGTGGATTTTAT